AAAAGGTACTCAACCAGACTGGGGACTTTTGTGTACTAGTACAATTGGTTCCTAGGCTATTATATCATTCAGAAAAAGATATTCTTAGTCATCTGACTGAGACCCCAGATAGAGTCAAATGAGAAACTATAACAGTTGTCAGTTTAACAGTTCTCCTAGGTTTAGGATTAGCTGGGGCAGGAACAGGAGTCTCATCGTTAGTGTTGCAAAACAAACATTACAGTGATTTGAAAACAGCCATAGATATAGACATCGAGAGACTAGAAAGCTCCATCTCCCACCTGCAAGAGTCACTAACCTCCCTGGCGGAAATAGTTCTCCAGAACCAAAGAGGCCTAGATTTAATCTTCCTACAACAAGGGGGGCTCCATGCTGCCTTAGGTGAAGAATGCTGCTTTTATGTAGACCACTCGGGAGTGGTCAAAAAATCTATGGCCAAAGTCAGAGAAGGTCTCGCTAAGCGAAAACGAGAACGAGAACAAAATCAAGGTTGGTTTGAATCTTGGTTTAATTCCTCCCCATGGTTGACCACTCTGATCTCTACCCTGCTGGGACCATTACTCATTTTGTTACTCTTGTTAACATTTGGACCTTACATACTTAACAGGCTGGTATCCTTCATCAGAGAACACATTAGCGCAGTACAGCTGATGGTACTTAGGTCCCAGTACCAACCAGTTTCTAAAGGCCTAATAAGATTGGCCCCCAGAGGACCATGATTGGTCCTCTATAACTTCATGAGAAGGGGGGAATGTGAGACCTAACTAACTCCATTTTAAAGTTTGACTCCATCTTAAAATAAGACAGTGAAGTGGCCTTGACATAAATTCCACTTCACTGAAGTCAACTATTCCCCTAGTCTCCTTTGTGCCCATAAAATAATGATAAAATGTCCTTGCTGTGGGACAACAGATAAAAAAGAGACACAGCTCCTAACTCAATCCCCTGTCTGCCCAGAAAACAGATGCTCCCTGGTCCATTATCTATAGAACATTCTGTCAATGTGCTGATTGTTCCTTTTTCCCATAAACTCTAGATGTAGCCACCCCTCAACCCCCCTGCCCCGTTGTACACCCCATGTTTGTTAAATATCAACCAATCATGTAACTGCTAAATGGAACATCCCCAAACCTTGTGGTAGCCACAATAAAAACCCTGCTGATTTGGAATTCGGGGCTCTCGATCCTGATCCACTGCGTCGGTGATGGTTGAGTGCCCCTGCTCGAGCTTGAATAAACGACCCTCGTGTGTTTACATCAAAATGGGCTCCTTGGTGTTCTTTGGGGACTTCGCGATCTGGGCACAACAATGCCATTTTATAGGAAAGATTTGAGCATCCACAGATTCTGGTATCTGGAGGGGGTGGGGTGTATTGGAACCAATTCTGTGTGATACTCTGTATTTAAATTTTGCTTAGTATTTATAGTCTTGAAAAAATAGTTGCTTCTTGCTCTGAATTTTAAAAACAGTTGATGGGCAGCACAGTGGCCATTTATGAAGAGCTGATTGCCTGGAGCTTTTTACAGTCCTGAAATCTAATTCAGTTACTTCCTAACTTAGCATGACCTCTGCCAATTTTTCTCCCATTGGGTCCTTTCTGCCATTGGACACTCATCGTGGAAAGGCCCTACCTTTTATTTAATGCCAAGATCCTCCTAATTGCTTCATGTATTCATTCATTCACGCAGGCAGGCAGGCATTCATTCTTTCTTCCGCATTATCTAAGGAAGGCCCATATGTGCCTGGAGAAGCTGTGGTACAAATGTGGGTCCTCCACCCACATCCCCCCGGCCCAAGCCACCTCTCTGGGGTTCTTTGCTCCGAGTTCTGCGGTGTCCTCCGTCTACTTCCTGGCTGATTCCTGCTGACCAGGCATGTGAAGGGGAAGGCCCCAGGGAGCGGGAAGGAAGTGCACCCCTGTGAGTAAGCCAGATTTCCAGGGTGGTGGGGGACCAACTTCTCAGACACTCACTTTCCCTTCCCCTTGGTTGTCAGCTCCTCCCCAAAGCAGCCAGTAGCCCACAAAAACAGCATGTTTACCAGCTTGTTCATGGCCTTACAATTTCTGGGGATCTTTAGAGGACCAGGAAGGAAGGCCCAGCTCTGGCCTGTCCCTTGCCCTCCTCCACTCTTTCCTTAGGAGTAGGTCTTTCCTGCCCACCCCCAGCAACCCTGTTTTGCACTTGGGAGCTGGGGCGGGGGGCACACACATTTGCCTCCTGAGTCCTCTGTTCTCTGCCTGTCAAGGGCCTGAGCAGGGCGTGGACAGCTGCTGCAAGTCACCTTGGGTGACGGTGATGTTATCAGCCCTAACGGTTTCCTTGGGGTAGGCACTTCCGTCCTCGTGCTGCTGTAGCCAGAACCTGTGCAGGGGGGCACGCTGAGCAGAAAGGGGGATCTGGGGATGGAGGAAGAAGTCAAAGGCCCCAGGGGGCAGGGTTAGAAATCATGGTGAAAAGCCAGGATTGGTGGTGCACGCCTGTAATCCCAGTACTCGGGAGGCTGAGGCAGGTGTTAAGCCCCAAGTCTGAAGCCAGCCTGGGTTACATAAGTGAGTTCAAGGCCAGCCTGCACTGCATAGCAAGACCTGTCTCCGAAAACCAAACCAAACCAACCAAACAAACAGGAAGTCATGTCGATAGCCGATACTCCCATCACAAACTCAGTCCTCCCCTTTACAAAGAAGAAAGGGGAAAGCCACAAGCACAAGGTGATGCTCTAAGTTCCCAGGAAATTTCCTTCCTGCTGCCGACTCTGCCCTGGCACCCTCACCTCCGCACCATGAGGCTGGAATGAGAGAGGGTCACCGTTAATTTCCGGGGATGGGGCTCTTCTGCTAGGCCTCAGAGGGCTTGGTTCTGAGTACAAGGAATATCAGGACCTTCTTCATCTGAAACTTGTGCAGTATGCTAAGTGATATAAAAACAGCTACTTTTTCCAGAGTGCCTACTACAGTGTAAAGGTGCGGTGTAGAAGGAACAGAGAGATTAAGTGACTTGTCTAAGGAAACACAGCTAGCAAGCAGCAGAGTTGGAATTCAACCCTCCATTTGCTTCCCTGGTTTTTTGTTTTGTTTTTGGAGACAGGGTCTCGGTGTGTAGTTCAGGCTGGTCTTGAACTCACTATGTAGCCTAGGCTGGCCTCAAACTTGCAGCGATCCTCCTCCTTCAGGCTTCAGTGCTGTGATTGCTGGTGTGGGTCACTACGCCTGGGGGCTTGGTCCTACGCTCAGCTGAGTTAACTGAACCAGTGACCACGCTGGCACGGGATGTAGCAAGTCAGGCCTTGGAAGTGTCTATGGCAGGGGTGGCCGTACGTCTCAGACTGGTACCCAAGGCAGCAATGGAAGCAGCTGGAAGCCACAGGTGGGCTGCTATGAGAAGCAGAGTCAGGGCAGTTCTCAGCTGGCTTCCTGCTCAGCACTCACCAGCGCCTGTCTCACTGTCCCCTCTGGGGCGGCTCTCCCTTTCCCTGGGGCCTGAGGGCCCGGGGCGTGGGCAGAGGGCTAAGGTGACATATGAATGCTGCAGGACCACAGGGAGCCGTCCCTGCCAGCCAACCCCCTTCCACATGCAGGTCTCAGAAGGCATGACCCAGGTCTCTGGGAAGGCTCGGAAGGGGCCATACCTAAACTGGTATGGGACAATGACCTTGGCGAGATTCCAGTCCCCACATCTCTCCCACACAGCCTTTTTGCTGCGCTGAGGGCTGGGATGGCCCTGGGGGAGGGTTGCTAAGCTGGGTCTTATGGGAATCGGATGTCTAGGATCTTGCCCTGGACTATATTTAATAGGAATGGAGAAAAAGGCCCTTTAGCTAGCAGCTTGTGGGGGCTGAAATTCCCACAAACCCGAATGAACCCAAGAATCAAAGCAGATTTGAGGAAAAGATTTACTGCTGCATGGAGCGTGGAAAACATTGCTTGGATTCCTCGCTTTTCTCCTTCTCCTTTTCCTGATACATAGATACACGGCAGATACATAGATTGATAAAGGTTTGCTGGAAGCAGGGGGCTGGAAGGTGAAGAAAAGAGATGTGGAGGGAAAGAGTGGCCCGTCGGGTCGCACTCTGCTGCTGCCTCCCAGCCCCTCTCCCCCGGACTCCAGGAAAATCAGATGTGACATTAATGCAACCTGGAAAGAGAAAGGGAGGAAGAAGGAAGGAGAGCAGGCGGGATGGATCTAAAAGAAGGAAATGGAAAAGAGGGGAAATCAGAAGATGGAAAGGCCAGTTCTGACTTGGAGCGCGAGGAGAAAGCAAGCGCGTGCGGAAGGGATGAAGCCGGGGTCCTGAGAAACTTCGCGAGAGAGGGGCGCGGCGGCTGCCCATCCATGTTTGGGCAGATTGGGAGGGACAGTATCTGTTTAGATTTGTGTCTAAATTTAAACCCCATCGGCCTCGCTCCCCGCCCCTCCTCCGCCGCTGGCTCCTTCCTGGTTCTCCGCCGAGCCCGGCGCAGCACAGCGCAGCCCGGCGCGCGCCGCCCACTCGGCCCGGCTGGGCTCACAGGGAGCGCGAGCTCGCCCCAGGACGACCTGGAGGACATGGAGGTAAAGCGCGCCGCCGGCCGGGGCTGCCGCGAGGGAGCGCAGAGCCGGCTGCCGGGTGCCTCGCGCGCCGTCCTACCTGGGGGACCCCTGGGGCGGCGAGGGCTTGGCCGGGAGCAAGGGAAAGGGGGGCGCCTTTATGAGAACCTGGGTGTTTTGATCAGGCGGTTACGCGCTTTAAACAACACAGAAAGTAGGTGCAGAAAAGGTTCGCAAATGGGTAAATGCGTGAATGGAAAAACTCCAAGAAATCAGAAGCCCTTGACTCTGCAGAGCTGGGGATTGAACGAGAACCAGAGTTGGCAAGGGAGGCTGGCATTTCTCTGCCAGTCCGGGCTTCGCATTTCACTTGCACCCTGGCCATTTACAAGTCCGGTGTCCTCTGGCTGATGGAGTCCCTCTTGCGTCCGTCCGTCACATCTTTCATAACTTTCTGTAAAGCTCCCCACCCCTGGCAGTCGAATGACCTTATTTATGATAAAGCTCGAGAGTGCTCTAATGCCCTGGCGTTGTAGGCCTGTGTGTATTGGGGTGCACTGTCCAGATCTAAGGGGTGACCAGGCTGCGGCCGGGCTGAGTGGAGGCCTGGGGACTCTCCTCTGCCGTTCCACCTGGTGGGCTCCTCGTACCACCTTGCACCTTCCATCAGAGATGTATCCCCCAAATCCTCCCCTTCTCCTTGTCTGGAGCTTCCACAGACCCCCCTTGAAACAGACCTGGCATTTCACCCTACTCAGCCTTAGCAGGACCCAGGGCTTTTGAAAAGAGAGAAAGAGAAAGTGCAAATGCTGTGTAGTTTTAAGGTGATTCCCACTTGCATTCAAAAGGAAACTGTGCTCGCCTCTGGGCTGTGGTCTGCAGCAATCCAGATTCACAGAAGCTGCTATCTCTTCCCCACACCAGGCTCCTTGCGGGAGTGTGGCTCCTCCCTTCCGTGCTGGACTCGCTTGCCTTTTTCAAAGTGCCAATAGGTTTGTCCTGGACACTCAGCTACCTGGTTGTTTTAAGGGATCATGTTCTCCAGGGAGTGGGGTGCACCTTCTGTAGAAACGTGCACGGGCAGCGATACTGGGGCACTCAGGGAAAAGCTCAGCAGGTGGGGCTCACATGTCTACTCAGAGCTGCAGGGCTCTGTCCTGAGCACGCTGGGCTGCAGGGCAGAGGAGGAAGCCAGCCCAGGGGACCCCCCCACACACACACACCATGTAGGGCTGGGAAAGAGGTCCCAAGAAGTTGTTCTAGATGTAGTTCCCCTCCTCTGGAAGAAAACAGCGCCTTAAACCGAAGGCTGGAGGTCCCGTATGATGTATATGACCTGTCTCATCTCTTGCAAAAATGAATTGGACATAAAGAGCAAAGCAAATTTCAGTTTAAAGCAGGCTCCTGTTTGAAGGCCGAGGCAAGTTTGAACTTTGTTCTAGGGAGGCAACAAGGGCTTCTTCCAGAGGGAAACTCTCCTCCCTCGGTTGAGGAAGGAACAGTGGGTGGCAGAGGCCCTGAAACTATCAGCAGAGCAACTTCCTGTGTGGCTTGGGGGGTGAAGGCATGAAAAGAGAAGGCCCTCCTGTGTGCAAGCGTAGATATAAGGGAACCGAGGAGGGCTTCTACCAAGATCCCCAAATCCTGGGGTGCCCGGGAGTGGGGATGGGGAGGGATGGCTCCGGAAGCTGGGAAACCCTGGCAGATCTGTCTGCATCTGCCTAAGCACGGATTTGTTCTTTGGGAGTGACTGCTTTTGAAGTTTCTTTGTCAATACCACCTGGAAAAAAAAAATTGCAGCTGCAATAACGGTGAAGGAAGTGAAAAGGAAGCCAAAGGCCGAGGATGTGAAGTCGGCCCTAAGTGAGCTTGTTATGGTGGGGCATGATGGGCAGGTGTAGACTGGGGATTCCTGAAAAATCTCAGCCTAAAATCCTGTTTTGAGAGGTGAAATCCACTTTTGAGACTTGAAGAACTACCATATCTGGAGAGAAGCTGAGTCACATTACTTGTCAGTACTAGGAATTCAAATCAGACCAACAAAACTTAATAACTGCTCTCTAGAATCCACTTACCTGTGGGAAGCCTTTGGAGAATCAATTTTTAAAGTCACTTTACCATTCTCACCAGCATCCGTCATTACTTGGGCCACAGTAAGCCCTCTGGTTAAACAAGGTAGAGATGCCTTCTGATCCCTGCCTTCTAAACCCCCGCAATCCAGTAGAGGAAATGGGGCTCACTCTGCCCTGTCCTGCCTGTAATTCTCCAGGCAGTGTGCGCTGAATGGCGACCCCTGCAGACCCCGAGTTCTACAGGAACCCAAGGCAGATGAGGCTCAGAAAGAAGCCCAGAAAGGGTGGTCATGGTGAGGAAGAGAAGGTTTAAGGCTTTGGATGCAGGGAGAACGTGGCACCCTCTTTCAGGAAAGTAGGCCAGCTGGCTGGGGAAGAAGGCAGTAAGAGTGGAGAAATGAAAGTAGTGAGACAGAGCTACAGGGCCCCTGAGTAGAGAAGACGCTAGCCAAGTGGTGAGTGGGAGCCGACCCCAGAGTCACGTGACAGAAGCCTTCACTTTTTATTTACGCAAAGTCCCCTTGCCTAGTTATGCCCCCGACGGTACTTTTCTGATTCCTATAGAAACCATCGGCAGAGCTTGGAGGCCAGTGTGGAGATGGCCTCGGTTCTGGTCTGTGGAAAGGGGGCCACTCTGATGGAGACCACAGTGCAGGAGGGGTTGGTTCTGTGGCAGAAACGTTCATGGAGTGGAAGGGGCAGGTCTTTGAGGGTGCAGTGCAGTCTGACTTTGAGAGACAATAAGGGTGGGAAGGGGCAACCGTGTGCTCCAGCAGAAGGCAGAAACCACTTCTGGTTTAGCTCCCCAGGGCGCCCGGAAGAGCAGAGTTCCCCAAGGTGCCAGGGGGAGGGCGGTGCCCCGGGTCACAGTTCTGTGAGTGCTGTCTAGGTCTCCAGAGAGGACCGCAGTGCCCGTGCCTTGCAGAGAATCATCACTTCCTGGTTTTTTACTGTCTGTCTTTTATTTTGCTCTTGATTGGATGTTTCTACAAAGGCAGAGTTTGGGTATGTTGGTTCAACTGTACTAGGTTGATATTTCCAGCATTCCATGAGAAACAGAGATCTCTATGATGCAAATGTGTTTCTTCTGTCAAAAAGATAATAGGAGGGCCGGGGATTTAGCTCAGTGGTTTCGCTGCCTGCTGCGCAAGCGCAAGGACCGGAGTTCGATCCCCCGTACCAAAAAAAAGATAATAGGAGAGGTTACAGTAGGTAGGAACCCAACGGACAGGAGTGTATAGTAAAGAAAGAGCGGGAAACTTAGAACATTGAACTCACATTTATATTCTCAGTTGCTTAAATATAAACTGTGGGAACTCCAGATACCCTAAGGATGCTTGAAAAAAGTTTAATTTTCTGGCCAGGAATTTAGCTCACTGGTTCTGCTGCCTGCCTCGCAAACACAAGGTCTCGAGTTCGATCCCCCTTTCACTGACTAAATCCTTCATGTGTTCAACTAAATAGCAGAAAACATGAAAATTAAACTTATCTTCCCAAACCATGTGTCTATTTAGTGGACAGATGAAGGATTTAGCCTGTGAAAATTAAATTTTATTGCCCCTGAACAAATGAATTTCTAGATGGAGATAATAAATAAACCCTTTTCCTGATGTAAAGTCAAGACCTTCCCAGATATTATTTGTCATTCAGCCACTTGTTCAATATCTATTCCTTTATTACATGCCAAATCTTATGTTTAATGGTTACTTTCCAAAAAAGAGGTGGGATCAAAAAATACAGTGAATGTTTAAATTTTGAAATTTATTACAGTGAAAGACACGTGGCCATTGATCCCCCTCAAAATACTCCTACTCACTTCGAACACCCATTGGCCTTGCCACTTTCTGAAGCAGTTCTAAACGCCCTCTTTCATGTCTTTAGTTGTCCTGTTGTGGCTCCCTCAATGGCTTCAATGGTTTCAAAACCTTTCTTGGTCATTTTGACTTTGAGGATGAGCCAGAAGTTGCAGTGCCAGGTCTGGGGCACATGATGCATGAGATCACATGGGGATGAGTTTGTGAACCTACCTTTCTATCGGATAGAACTCGGCTGCAGCATTCACCATATATTTTGATCACACCTCATGTAGGGCTATTGTGTCTTTTCATCCTCACAGACTGTCAGTAACAACAAGGGGGTGTGTGTGTGCATGTGTGTACACATTGGCATGTATATTGTGTCCATTTTATAATTTATGTTTTCATTCATATCTTTGTACGTCATTAAACATTTTCTATCACTTTTTTTTTTGTACTGGGGATTGAACTCGGACCTTGTGCTTTCGAGGCAGGCGGCGGCGCCACTGAGCTAAATCCCCGGCCCAATTGTATATACTGCGGAACACACTAGAAGATGCAGAAACAACTCAGCCACTTTATCCTTTTTTTTTTTTTTTTTTTTTGTTACTGGGGATTGAACTCAGGACCTTGCGCTTTTGAGGCAGGTGGTGGAACCACTAAGCTAAATCCCCGGCCCCTCTACCACATTAAAAAAAAAACTGCTAGGAAACAGGAGACTCCATGCCTTAATAAAAAGATCATTTTGCAAGGTCCCTGCGGAGCACTAGTAGAAGCCCTGACAGCCCCAGCTGATTTTTGACCCACCTCTCTCCCTCAGCCATAGTCATCTGCTGGTTGAGCTGGTGGATCACAGATAGGGGTTGTGCTGGCCTCGGAAGCTGGGTTTGGGGGGAACTTGCAGGCATGCCAGGTACCCAGCATGGCCCTCAGCTCCCCTGTGTCCTCCCTGGAGTAGATGGCTCCCATCTGTTGTGTGGTGGTGACAGTTCTGGGTGTGGCAGGAGGGTTAGCTCACATTCCTGGAAAGGAGTCGGGTTTCCATCCTGAGCCACAGTGCTCTGCTCAGCCAGGAGAGCCAAGCCTGGCGTTCACAGCTCCGTGGGAAATCTGACCACTGGCGGCTCAGCAGCCCGTAATCTTATCAGGGCCACAA